GTTTTAAGTTGGATTTTAGTTTAAATGAGTTATGCAAAAAGCGCACTTTAAATAATTCTAATAAGAAGAATTAAAATGACATAATTTGGGCTGCAGAATATWAAAAACAAGCACTTCTGAGATTACTGTTGAATATCACAATATATCAGTTGCAATAAGCCCTCACTCCTCGTTTTGTCTGCAATGAACCATGTAATACATGCACATATGCATGAGTTTGGTTTGGTTGTCTGTTAGCAAAATTTCACAAGAACCACTGGATGGGTTTTAATAAACTTCTACAACTGGTTAAYTGTTGGAGTCAACTTCTTTCAAGATGGCCACCACAAGACGGCCATCATGCTTGGAAAATACATAAATGGATATAACTCAGTCAGTTAGATAGATATTAAACTAACATTTGGTTTGCTAGAAGCTTACAGTTATCTCCAAAACATACTTAAAGCATTAAAACGTACAAGAGTTTTATGCAGTGAGGGATGAGAATTCCTTCAAGGAATTATAGCTGTTTTTACTATGCTCACAKCCTCTGTGAGTTTTAGCATCTTTGCTACAAACATCTAAATCAGAAGTGGCATCAAGGACAGTCTGTGTCTGATTGGTCAAATTGGCACATGAAGCATCAATGCAAACCTAATCCCTTCAGCAATAATAACATTTCATTTTGATTTTGTGAATATGATACATTTTATTGTGCAGCTTGAACAACTTGAAGCTAACTGAGCAGAAGTCTTTATTCTTGCAGCCTTGACGTGATGAATTAAATTCACCTGAGCTCCGTGGGGATCAGCACAATCTGTTGCAATCTTAGATCTTCCTCAGATTAATTTTGACCCACCGGCTTCACCCTGATGGCTGTGTGCTGTACAATAAGAACCTGACAACATGCACCTTTTAAACTCACCCTTTCGTCCCTCTGGAAGGTGACCCTGCGTGGCTCGGTGCGTCCTCGGCTCAGCCGATGCACCGTCTTGTCTTTGAGCAGCGACGTGTAGCCCAGGTGCTCGTAGATCGGGTTGGTGGTCATTTTGGCTATGTACTCCGCCGCCTTGGTCTCGATGTAAAGGGTGATGAGGGCGTCCGTCACCAAGTCGTGGACAGATTCGAACCTCTTCTCCCCAACGAAATGCTTCCCATCGTAAAACAACCTGTAGTTGAGCGTCTGGGGTCCAAACCTGGAGAGGGATTTTTGGATACGATTGAGCAGCACAACTCGTCACATGTTGATGCTTTTCCAAGGTTCCCTCTGCACCTGGTTTTGACATGTCGGGTACCCCCCTCGCGTCAGTTATTGATGAGATGGAGCAAAATCATAGACTTAAATATATAGATCACTAGACTGAGCCCCGCCCATACTGTACAATGGTAGCGTCTGTGACAGCATGGAGGAGCAGAAACAGACCAAACAGGGCAACAGCTCACAGCCTCCATAGAAACTAACAGATAAATAGCAGCTGAACTGGATCTGTTTCACAGATTATCGGTCATGTTTTTACAATAAATTAACAACTATGTTAATTTCATTCAACAATCATGTAAAACAGCAGATTTATACCAGAAAATATATATAATCTATAAGTAACAATGATCTAAACCAGACCTGAAGTCAGCCTGTAACTTAGACTTTAACTAGCTGAAAAATGATGATTTCAGCTAGTAATAAAGTATATTTATTATTTCTTCTCACGGTCATAAAAATAAGAATATTTTTATTTACCAGTCAACAGTTAGAAAATGTTCTCTGTATACCTGGTATGAGATGAAACTTGTCTCTATTAGCTAACATCTTCTCAACAAGTCAGGTTCCTCTAACAGAAACCTAAAAATACTCAAATTTATAATATTATTTTACACTCTGTAGGTCTAAATATTAATCAGAGGACAAAGTAATATTT